TCTTCGCGGAGCTCTGGCCCAATGGTTGCCAAGTGGCCTGAATTAATTAATTTTATAATGAATGATTTTAGAGTGTTGTTTATGCTGTACTTTTATACTGTTTTATTGTTGTTAGCCGCCCTGAGCCCGGCTTTGGCTGGGGAGGGCGAGATATAAATAAAATTTATTATTATTATTATTACGTTTGATTTGCCACTCCTGTTCCAAACTGTCTACACATCCATGTCTACACTCTTGTGTGTTTTTCTAATGATCATGAGGTGTCACTAAATTGTAAAAATGTGTTGCTCTTCCTGCAGCAAAGCTTGCCAGCTTGGTGCCTGTAGGCACAAGGACACCCCTGCAGTGTTTCCTGATGCCCCAGAAGTCTCTGAGACACCTCCCTCACCATGGCCACGAAGGAAGAATTTGGAAGAGTGATGCTCTTTCCCACTTCCTCTCCCCCCCCCACCCCCACCCCTGTGTGCTGAGTTCAACTTTTACCCCAATCCCTGGGTGGGAGTGGCCAGAAGTGGTGATACCCATGGCATTCACCCGTGCCCATTGTCCTAAAAAGATGGCCAACCCCTAAATTCTCCAGGCATGTACAACAATCCCCAGGCTGCCTGAGACAGTGTCTTAGGATGCACAGAGAACTCCTGATGCAACAGAGAATTCCGCATGGGAAAGCTGCCTCTGGGCACATATCTCCCTTGCGAGGTCGAAGTGACAGCTAAGTCTGGATCCCCTTTCCTGCGAAATAATACACTTACAGTTTGTTGTAGCATCTAACACTTCCTGAACTTTAAAATAAATCTCTTAAGCCTCCGTGGCTTTGCCTCTTAGAGCTCAGCAGAACACAGAGATGTATTTTTAGCCGTTCCACAACGCCGGTTTTAAAATAACCACGCCGTGTACAAAAATACGGCCGCCGTCTTAAGTTATTAAACACATTTAAGAACCCAAATAATAAGCTGATATGTGACGTGACCTACATTAGAGGAGGCATAAAACAGCAGATAAGCCAGAAGTTCTCAACTATTACTGTACATGCAATGTTTTATTCATTGAATGGGATGAGCGCTACTGAATGGGAAGGTATGGGTGCTCTGTGCTGTTTCTTTTCCCTCACCCTTAGAAAATAAAAAACAGCCTAGCGATATAATAACAGTAAGAATGCATTTTTCACACACTATTCCAAAGCCAAGGTACCGTTGCAGAAAAGACCCTCAATCATGAGTTTCTCTAAGGAACTGGGAGTAAGCCAAGTCAGGATCCCAGCTCAGAGGATGGATAAGGGCCACTATTCAGATATTCCAATGGGATATCATGTTCCAGCATCACCTATCTACGCTACTATGCCCAAAATGTCGCACAACATGTTATGTATTCAGTGGTCTGTGTTTGCCTGAGCTTGAGTCTGGACTAAGGATTCTGAGCTCCTGTGTTCTGACTCGATACATGATGTCCAATCACAGAACATTTCAGGATTTTGGTCTCTGCCATTGGCCCTTGAACTCTGAGTCGTGATTCGCAGCTTGGAAGTTTAGACAGCCAATCACATTGGGAGTGGGAGTGGCCCAGGCCTCCAGAAATGGATATAAGCAGTTGCTGTGCCCCTGTTGTCCAGTTCTGTTAGTTCAATAAAGGTTCTTGCTGTTATCACTGTGTCTTGCCTTGTGGGAACCCACCTATACTTCACAGCATATCAGATGAGCCAGAGTAAACGTTACAATTCGAAAAACGTGTTAGCCACAATTACAATTAGTTTCAATAACGGTACGTAATAATCAATCAATCAATCAATACAATTAAACTGACCTAATCCAACATTTTACGACCTTGGAGGGTGAACTACATTTCCTGGGATTCTTTGGGGGAAACCATGACTGCTAAAGAGGTTATGGATGTGATCTAATTGAAAGCACAACATAGAATTTAAAATATGCTACTGACAAACTGTATATACTTTCATTCCAAAAAGGCAACATGAGGTTCTCTGCAATTAACCTGCACGCATTGATTGACAGCCATTTTTACCTGTCCAGGTAACAGATTATGATGATTAGCTTACAAACCTACTTCAGCCTCTGGCCCACTGGAGAGTGTAAGCAGCCATCTGTGGCCTTTCAAATTCTCTTGGACTACATTTCCCATCATCCCTGTCCAATGGCCAAACTTGCTGGGACTGATGGAAACTGATAGTTCTGAGCTTGACAGTTCTAAGAGAGCTCTTTTTTACCTCGGGGTGGGGGGAATCAGCTGCCGTTCTCAGGAAACTTCATTATTCCCCCAGGGAATTCTGCTACGCAGCTCAGTACGCTCCTTTGGGGTACACCTGAGTCCTTGGGGACTGCCACTACATAAATCATCGGTGTCTTTGGGGAACACTTTATCTCTCGGTCTCTTTCTTGACATCTTCCCAGTTTCCAAAATAGCAAAGCGCTTTCTGCAGCTTCGGGTCATCTTATACAACTTGCATAGACATGAGGGTGACGTATCATGCCACTTTAAAAACTCCCTAATTAAAGGCACATAAAATTATTCAAGGAAATCCAGGAAAATGCAGAGAAGTGGTCTAAACAGAGCATAGATCAATTGCAACAGCTTTCGCATAAACAAATGCTGGAAATTGAGGCCTATGAGAGAATCGGTCATGGCTGCCTGTCCAGGTCTATCCTGCGTAGAGAGAAGACGAGGGCAAAAGAAACAGAGGCTGCTTCATATTCTAGCATGCTGGAAACATGTTCTTTGAGATGCAGGTAAATAAGTATCTGAGTCAATGTGAAATCCTCCGCCGTCCCCATCTCCTCAGACCCTCCAAGTGTCCCTATTTTCCAGGGACAGTCCCAGATTTAAGGAAGCCATCCTGGTTCCTGATTTGATCATGGAATTGTTGGGACGCTGCCGGGGAGACTTGGCACGCTCTAGTCAGCAGAGTGAATAACTTCTCACAACGGAAGTGGCAGACAGAGACATGTGTAAGCATTATTTACAGGCGTTTATTCAGCATAGTTCAGGAACAAAGGAAAAACATGTCTGCTTCCCTTCGTGTCCAAGCACACAGCAGCATCGCAAAAGCAATATACAAACGGAAGTTCCCAGCAAGCCTGTGCTGGAAGTAAACAGGCATGTGACACACAACAGTCATGCCTGTTCCTTTTAAGGTGGAACGGAACTATATCCTAACAGGAATGTCCCACTTTTCATTAGAATGTCCCTGTTTTCATCAGAGAAATGCTGGAGGGTATGGAATAGGATGCCCACAGAACTTTTTTTTTCCATCTGGAACTCACCGGAACTCAGCTCTGTCACCTCTCAGGTGGACACCATTGCCATTCTAAGAGAATGAGGGAAGTGTTTGTGGTTAGTTCCTGCACCTCTTTTTCCAGAGAAAGATACCACTGGACACCCCTATTTTCTTAGGAGAAATGTTGGAGGGTATCTCCTCAGCCCTTCAGCCACTCCTTTATCTTCTCTTCATTCATGAAGAGTTGTAAGGTTTTTTTCTAGTTTTTACTTCTTTTTCTGTCACAAAAACTTTAATTTTCTTTTTTAATCTGCATTTGTATTGTAAATGAATGCATTGCATGCTCACATATAAACAAGAAAGCAAAAATCTCCGCTGTTCTTTCCATTGTTGCTCCACGCTAGTCTGCTGTTTGTTGAAGCAAACCAGTGAGTATCATTGGTACCAGGTAGAGGCAATGATCCGTAATCATCTGGAGGAATGCTGTTCGTTGTTCCCCGTGTTACAGAGGCCCAAGTGGCCTCAACAAGGAGCTCATCTTTCTCCCTTGATAGCAAGCACGTTTAGGTCGCAATGCTGTGCCCAAGGTTTTGGTGTGCCATTATAATTTACCCAGCAGTTCTGAAGATTTCCAGTTGGCGGTTATCACTAGCCTCCCTGCAGTAAATACAGCCGTGGCTAATTCTAAATCTTGCTTATTAATTATGCCTTTCAAAAGGCTTAAGAGAGATGGCTTAGGTGTCAAAGTTATATCACATCTGATTATGTCCTTAATAATATCTAGTATCCTTTGCCAAAATACTCTAGCGCAAGAGCAAAAATAATCTGTGCTCGATCCTATTTTCTTAAATGGGAGGGATCGTAGTTTTTCAGTCTTCTACAGACTGCCCTCCTTTGTGGATTCTTAAATAAATGAGCCAGTCGCTGGGGAGGAGAGAGCTAATGCGGAAGCAGAGAGAGAGCTCCAAGACGCTGGACATCCTTAACACCAATTATTGATGCATTTATCTGCTTTCCTGGCCTGTTCTTCATGATGAAGAAAACAGTGTAACCATTAAGAACAGAAAGGAACCACCACCAGTCCGAAAGCCGAGGCTGCAGGAGAAAGTCTGGAAAGGCGCTTGTGGGGAGCAAGAGAGTTTGGCCTTTTAAATGAAGAGCAAGCTGGGGGTTTTCCAGACCCACAGCAGGAACTGGGGGGGGAGGCTAGGTTTGGGGGCGGCTCGTGGGCTGGTAAAACCGTCTTCACGGGCCGCGTCCGGCCCATGGGCCACACGTTGCCGACCCCTGCCCTTGAAGCACAGGCAGGCTCGGAAAGCAGGAGGGGGAACATTTCTTCTCCGGAAGAGGAGAAGAATTAATCCTATGAGCCCAAGGAGTAGTCGTATGGGAAAGGTATTAGGCAGGAAAGAAAACCAGAAAGCAGCCAGCCAGCTTACCAAAAAGCACAGAAATAGGGGCAAGACCAGCTTGTCATAGCAAAGAACTTGTGGTGGTGCGTTATAATTATTATTATTATATTATTATTTATACTTTGCCCATCTGGCTGGGTTTCCCCAGCCACCCAGCACATAAAAAATTGTAAAACATTAGACATTAAAAATTTCCCGATACAGGGACACCATTGGTGAGGAATTCAAACACTGACAGCTTTTTCAATACCATTGTCTGATCTGATCACTTTGACAGCACCTTACAGAGTCTATACTGTCAAAAGTTCAAGGATCTCTGGGTGATCAGAACCTTTTGAAGATAGTAACAACACCCATGCATCTGTTAATAGCTCAGTCGGTAGAGCATGGGTTCGAATCTCACGGTCATGGGTTCGAGCCCCACAATGGGCAAAATGTTCCTGCACTGCAGGGAGTATGACTAGATAATCCTCATGGTCCCTTCCAACTTTACAATTCTATGATTCTATCATGAGGGTTAGAAACTTGCTTTGTAGAGGAGGTGCAGTACCTAAGCAGCAAAGCACATACTTTACACAGGTCCTCATGTGTGACGTTACCATATATGAGAGAGTGCTGGAGGGGAAATAGTTAAATAGGCTGCACAGACAGGACCCAGGGGGGTGGAGTCAGTGGGTCTATAAAACTAGTTCTGAGAGTTAGTTCGTTGGGAGTTGTGGGTGGGTAGTTGGTTGGTTTGAGTGGGTTGGCTGGTTGGGAAAGGGAGTTGGTAATAGAGAGACAGTTAGGGCATTGGTTCATGAGTGTGGGGTGGTAGCAGAGATAGAGAGAGGAACATAAGACTAAGAAAGTAAAGAGGAACACTGTTTGGAATGCTGTAATAGTTTTGTTTTAAGTCTGAAATAAAATACACTCTTCTTTATGAATTGAAAAGCTGACTGAGACTGAAGTGATTTTACCAGGGAGGACCTGGTTGGTGGCAGCGGATTAGTGGTGTACGGGTCAATAGTCCGTGAGACGACCGGGGGCTCCGTACGAACACCACATCATGTTTCAGGGCATCTTCCTGAGGCTCTGGAGAACCACTGCCAGGCAGAGTAGATGATGCTAGGGATAGATTCAGGAGAAGTTGCTTCATACATTGCAGTGCTGGAATTCTCAGGGGTTTGGTGGATGCAGAAAAGAGATTGATGGAGTTTTTTTGCAGCGACCATCTGCAACACCAGCATCCCTTCCTGTGGACAATCTGCTGTGAAGATTATGAACAATCTGCGGAAAACATTGCACCAACAGAAGCATAAGTCGTCCTGTATGGATAACACACTTTGAGGAGCACCACTTGCTCTTAAAAATGAAAACTCCCCTTCTTCCAACCCTGAAATATTTATGGACCCAGGATTTGTTATGTCCATGAAGACTTTAGCGCACGCACGCACACAGACATACACACACACAAATCCACGAAGATGACAAAGCAAATAGCAGCAACATACATGGGGTGGAAGAATGGGTTGTACTCTCAGCAGTGATATTTACCAGCATCTTGTCTATTGCTTTCCCACTTTGGGAGACCTTTTATTGATGGCTTCCTCCAAAACAATCACTGTTTGCAGGTCACTCAGACTGTGGGTGTTATCAAGACTTTGCTGTCATGATTTCCTCCCTGCCTGGGAGTCAGGTCCAGTTAAACTCTACAGATGTGGATTGCAGAGACGGTGAAGTAGCATGAAAAATTCCTTCCCAGTACCCCAAAAGACTAATCCGCCAGCCCCAGTGTGTTCCTCTGCCCCAATGGGCACATGGTTGACTGGGTTGTGCCACCTGCCTGCCCCAGCTGAGATAGGGGAACCTGTGGACTTGTTGCTGAACTACAATTCCCATCATCCTCTGGCCATTGCCCATGTGGCTGGGAATAATGGGAGCTGAAATCCAATAAAGCCACTTCCAACCCTAGGGAGGAGGTGGGGTTGCGGGCTTCCCACCCACAACGCCCGCGCAGAGGCTGGCTCTCAGCCCTGCACTTACAGGGGGAATCCTCTGCCGCGTCATCCCCTGGCCAGCCTATCGGCTGGCTCAGGGGGCGTGGCTTGCCACTCTTAAGGCAAGCGCGGCAGAGGAGCTCCCTCTTTGCCACCGATCAGCTGGGGAATTTCCCACCCTCCCTTTAAGGTTTTCCTTTGACGTTGCTATGGACTTCAGTTGGTTGCCATTAAGAGGCTTGGTAGGAATTTTTCCACTTGGCAAATTGGCACCGGCCATTTGGTTTTTTCGCCTACCTCATAGCAAATCGTCACAACTTTCACGGTTTGGCGGTGAGGCATTGGTCGGGGTATTGTTATGTAGATGGACAGGGGGGAGGAGCGCCATCACCTCCCCCGGTTGCGAAGGGTAGTCCGGTAAAGGACTCCGGGGGCGTGGCCCCATCCGAAGCCTAGGGAGGCCAGGGCCCAAGGCACGCCCCTGAGCAGTGACCCCAGGGGAGTGCCTAGTTGATGTGCATCAGCAGGGCTCCCCCTGCTGGTGTTAACCCTTCCCGGCCTCTCAGGCATACAGCCTGAAGCCGGTTAGTTGATTAGGACCAATGCCTAGGCCAATACCGCTCATTTCCTGCAATCAATAAAGTTGTGGCCAATTTTCGCCCATTAACCTTAACTATGGTGTCTTGTGTCTTTATTTCTTCCAGTGGGAGGTGGGAACTCGCCGTGCAACATCTGGGAGGAGGCAGCAGGTTCCTGTTATAAATACATGCCCCCACCCGCCTCAGTTTTTGGTGCCTTTTTCTTTGTTTCCCTGTTCTACCCTATTTTTTTCCCTTTCTAGACATAAAGCCACTTTGCTTTCTGCTTTAACCGATAGGTTCCACTGTGAAATGGTTAGCAAAGGCAGGTCACCTGCTTCTCGATTTCATTTCCAGGACGTATTGCATAAGGGCCAACAGATCAAATTGCTGTTTTCATCCGAGGCAGCGTTCTCCCGAAAGTGAAGTGGCATAATGTGCGCCAAAGTACCTGTTTATGTCCATTACAAAAGAGAAGACAAATACTGAATTACCTCAGCCTTTCCATACCACCCGAGCAGAGACAATTGTCTCGGCTTTTGGAAACATTACTCAGATTTACACATAATTTCTCAAGCAATTTTGCATCGCCCAAAAGTGACCTTGAGAGCCGAAATGCTATCTTGTTCAGTCTGCCAGTAAAACGGCTAGCGGTAATTTCTCACTTCCACACAGAGATTTCTCAGAGACTCATTCCAGGGTGAAAATCTTTGCCTTCCTCCTTCGCCTTTGTTGATTTGTCTCTACTAAAGGGCACTCTCTGTTAAACTGGCCTTCGAGTTAAAAAAAAGTCGGTCCAATTAACGTGCCATGTCATTAGGCATTGCTGCTTAATGAAAGGCAAACATGTTTCTGAGTAACTAGGGTTGGAGAGGAAATTTGATCCTGCTTGCCTGTGAAGGCAAACCTACCTAATTTGCCCTTTGCGAAACAATATGCAAACCGAAACAAACTTCTCCAAATTTCACAGTGCAGTTCTCCAGCTAAGAACATGTGCAAAAGTGCATACCATGGGATAAAGTGGACACATAAATGTCTATATTAATGAAAACAGCATGTGCAAATGCGTTATATTGGGGAGATTGCTTTCAAAAATGTGTATATATTGCAGATATTAATATTGCACAGCATGAAGCAATTGGATACATAAAAGCTGGCCCATTTTGGAATAAAAATTGTCCAGACCCATTATTCAAAGCTTTACTAACCAGAACGTCTTTAAAAACAGATAGAAAACAATCAATGATGCATCCATAAAGTTGTATAAAGTACAGTGGTACCTCGGGTTACATACGCTTCAGGTTACACACTCCGCTAACCCAGAAATAGTGCTTCAGGTTAAGAACTTTGCTTCAGGATAAGAACAGAAATCGGGCTCCGGCGGCACGGTGGCAGCAGGAGGCCCCATTAGCTAAAGTGGTGCTTCAGGTTAAGAACAGTTTCAGGTTAAGAACGGACCTCCGGAACGAATTAAGTACTTAACCCGCGGTACCACTGTATATGCATATTCAAGCATAGGTCCTTCTTCGTAAATATATAACATAATTATGAACAGAGCAAAAAATCAAAGCTCTGTCTTTCCCATTGCCTGCATTAACCTGCACCCCCCCCCCCCGTCAGGAGCTCATCCTACACTCAAGTAGGACCCTGGCAGAGACACATGCCCGACTGACATGTTCTCTCCTTCCTGGTCATTTGTTCAGCAGCTTCAAAAGCTGTCTTCAGCCTGAGCAGCACAGCGACCGATGCCAAGAAACATCAGCACACTTAGAGATCCGCAGAGTTTGCGCAGTTGCGTAACTGACCTCAGCAACTCAGCATTTTGGCTAATCTACTTTACTTACATATAAACACACACAGAGCACTGCAACATGGCTCCCTCTCTCTCTAGCATCAGACAGCAAAGAGAAAAAGAACAAAAGACAATAGTCCCACTTCACGGAACACAGTAACACAAACATCCTGTCTCCGTCACTTCCCACTCTGTGGAGTCAAAACATACCACGTCATTTGATAGACAACAACTCCATGACTGCAATCACGGAGCAAGAATTCTAACACTCCCACCCCCCAAGGCTATGCAGCTCCTGGGGATACATCATTATCACATCCTTCTCCCACTGTGCCTGGGAACAAGAGACCAAAAACCAACTCCCTTTCAAAATCAAGATTTGCAATGGAATACCTTAATCACATGAGCTAAGGTTAAACACTCACGCAAAAGAGCAGAGAACAGAGCAGAGTTAATCATGAACCCAGCTAGAGAGCTCTCTTATAGCTTAGTATCCTCCAACGGAATTTTCTAGCGTTAAACCCTTAGCAATATACATAAAGGTATTCACCATTTCCATTATGCGATTAAACAATTATACTGAACAAAAACTGCTTACAAAAATATGTATATTATGGGAAATTCATGCTAAAGTGCTGGCTATTTCTCATGAGATTTTTTTTTAAAAAAAAATACAAACTGATGTGGAAATTAAATGAACTGAATTTAAGAATGGAAAAATGAAAAACTGAGAGAATCCAAAACTGATAGATTCACCAATCCCTAAGAGTAGCACTATTCATACATATTCTCTCTCTCTCTCTCTCTCTCTCTCTCTCTCTCTCGCATAACCTTTTAATTAAATTTTCAGATTTTACAAATTCTTTTAGACAATACTCAAAACAAATCTCTCATATCCATTGACTTCCCATCTAACCTTCCGTGGAATTCTTTCTTTACCATATAAAATTGCTATATTATATATTCATACATTCTAAATCTGAATACAATCAACATGTGGAAGCAGGGTGAATAAAAATCAATGATTTTTTTTAAAAATAGGATTTTTTATTTAAATCAGATTTGTTTTATTTAAATTGGATT